AGAGAGAGAGGTCTCCCCTTACACTTGGAATCATGTAGTGAGAGCTCCCCTTCCTGGCTAAATCTACTTGAATCTAAAACTGAGAAGGGAACTTCTTTTTTTTCTTTTTTCTTTTTTTTTTTTTCCTTTACTTAAAAAAAACATCACTCAATTACATGTTTGAAAAGGATTAGCTATTAGCATTTGGACAAAGCTCTTACATGGCACCCACACTGTGGAGTTTTTTCATCTTCTCTCTGAAACATGGCTGTAGCTGCTATGGTTACTTTGAAAAATGGAACCTATGCTGAGTTAACAGCGTGCAATGCCAAGAAAAGTATAAGGAGAAGCTCTGAGCAAATCATTCAGGGACTGATGTGGGATTCAAATCCAACTGCAGATGCCTTATAAGCAATCAAGGATTTTGCTCAGCTGTATGCTGAAGCAGCAGCATGGATGCAATAAGTTTAATGTGTTGTATAACTTCCTGTAGTTAAATAATTACAAATACAACTCTAATGGGAATAGTATTGAGCAGATGTTAAAATTTAAACAGCCTTTTTTTATCACATCAAAGAAGAATGAGTCATTCTGACCAATTCTGACTGTTTGCATGACAGATTAATTCAGAGTAAACAAAGGCTATGGGGAAGCAGGGTGAGCTGTAGAAAAAGAACTGCTCAACCTAAGTACGTCACCTGTAGGCTCTGCAAAGGTCACAGCAAGATATTTCTATATTTGATAAGTGCAACAAGTATATCCCCATGATAATTGATGTGTAATCTTTCTACAGATTGGTGAACAGGAGAAATAGCATAGAGCCAAGAATGTAAACTAATCAATAAATCCATAAATGCATAAATTAAGTAAACTGAGGGAGGAAAGAGAAATAGACAAAATCAGAAGTCCAAGCAAAAGGAAAGAGTGTGCCTGAGCTCTGTTTGGTAGTCATGTGTAATGCTTGGTCACAGAGATCCAAGAACTGGGAGGGTCAAGAGGGATGAAATTTGGGCACAGCAGGTATAGGGTGAGACCTGGAATAATCATCATCTTTATTTTTACAAGGGGCTGGAGGTAAAGAAACAAATATAAATTACTCATAAGGAGTGTTTTTAGATACATCACATTTACCAAGAAGCTTCATTTAGTATCAAAGTGATCTCTGGCTGGCCCAGAAATGCTGAATATTTCATTCTTTTAGGAGTCTGAAATCCTTAAACAAAATTAACAGGTACCTTTCAGCCCACAGTACTGTAAGAGTTTCAGAGATGTGCTTTACACAGAGGTGAATGGATTGGGTGAGAGAGTAGTGATGCTAAAAGCAACAACAATGAAAATCAATTTCCTTTATGAGAATAATAAGCAACATGGGCTGCATTGAATGGCCCTTGTCTCAGAGAAAACATATTATATTTCGCCAACCTAAGCAGTGTTACACTTATAGGTAAGAGGCCTGGCACCTTTCTCTGGAGGGGACATTCCCATTCACTGTACCACATGTCCAGTGCTGCAAATTCAACGCAGCGAATCCTTCTTTTTCACCAAAGAGCTAAGCAGTGAATGCACTTCAATAGCACATTCAAGGGCAAGAGAAGGCATCTTAGGCCTCTGAAGTGCACTATCAAAGACATTCAAGTATATTATTTAATGCCTTTAGCTAGATCAAAAATTTCTATTTTCAATGAATAAAAAGTTGCTAAAAAAAAACACTTTGAGAAAATTTGGGATGCATTTGTAAAATAATATAAACAAAACTAAAGAGAAGCCATTCAGTGGCAAAATTCTGATGATGCTGACTAGAAAAAGCTTGTTTATTTGCAGCTTCAAAATGTTAGCATGTATGTGAGCACTTTTATCTTTCCTTAAAGAGTGCTAAGGAACAAAGAGAGATATTCAGTCTCTCTGGCCAAATTACCAATTTAATTTTCAATGTTTTGAGAAACTCAGTAAGTGGGATGCTTGAGAAGTGTCAAACCCTCTCTAAATCTATGTATATAAACCTATACTTTTATATGTTTGTGGTTTTTTTCATCAGACATCAACAAAAGAAACTGGGAACAGGAGAACATCCAGGAATACCAGGACTCCCCAGTTCAACCAGCATTATCCCATGTTACATGGGGAATCTGTGAAACTGAAAGTGATTTTATATATGGGGAAGTGGAGAATCGATTAGATTTACTTCAAGAACAACTTAACAGGTAAAACTAAAGATAAATTAGCCTATGTGTGAAAGAATACATAATACAACTGATATTGATGATGCTATAGGAGGAATGAGTTTGTGCAGGAAGTTTCCAAAAGCATTCAGATCTTCAGAAGCTCAAAAGCACAAACATACATGTGATGGGAATATCACTTTTTTGTGTGTATGTATTCCTGATATACAGAAGCCTGTATATCACCTAAATTAGGCTTTCCAGAATCTTAGAAAAAACAATTCTGGGAAATCTGGGTACACAATTTGTAAACATTGCCAGAATATTGATGTCTTTTGCCTCTAGGTATACACATTAGCTACCCTGAATGGCTTTGCAGTAGAGCCCTTTTCCTCAGCTGACTGTTTTAGACCATCTTTTTAACCAAGAAGTTGTACTGAGACACCTCAAATTGTTAAATTTAAATCTCACCTCATCAAGAGTGCTGTTGCTAGATCACAGAACCATCCAACAATTTTGGTTAGAAGGGACATTAAAGATCACCTAGTTCTGACCCCCTGCCATGGGCAGGGACACAAAATGGCAATTTTCAGTATCTTCAAGATCTGAAGTACTTCTTCTTTCCTGGAGACTCCAAGTACAACAGCTGCTTGCTTTTTAAAATGTATTGCAGATTAATTCCCTTTTTGATGCATTAACTTTTTTTGCAATTCTATAATAAGTACGACATGGGAGTATGCAAAGGCACAATACTTATTCCTATTACAACAGAACAGCTAAGCAGAACAATTTAGAACATCTTAAAAATATGGTTACACAATTTTGATCCATCCTGCCCTGTAATTTACCATGTAACTTCACTTAATTTTAAATTGCCCTATGCTCAGGACCATTGAATTATTTTC